AATGATACCGCATTCGTTTATGCGCATCAAAAATTTACTCTCGTCAAAATATCGAATGATCGGGTGATCGGTGACCATCACAGGAAACAAGAATAATTCCAATCTTACTGCCTATATAGATATACTTTTTATTTATATTTTATATGAAGTATTCAATCTTTTATTTATTTATTTAATCTTTCATATATTTTAGGATATTCAAATTACAAGCAACTTTTTTAAAAATGTTTATTAAAAAGAACACAATATCACCAAAACAAATAGACAATATGACTCTCAAAATCGAATATGACTATAAAATATACTTCTGGAAATTAATGATTCAACAAGWAATCGAGATTATTAATTAATAATTAATAATTACTCGTATTATAAATATTGTGGAATAGCTGATAATTTATACTATTGTTTTTGTTATTAAGCAAACATTTCGACGTTTATTTATAAAAAATATCGTATTTTTCAAATAACATATTTAATTAATTTAATTAAATTTGTTGTTTATAAATAGATTAATTTTACAGACAATATCTCGTCCGGAAAAGTAAAAAAGGTAATAAAATCACCCTCGATGAATATTTATTTTACAATTCAATTAGCATTAAAACRAATAAAAAATTTAAGAGGGATTTATACGACATTTCTCGCAATGTTATTAAATCTAGGGGAAAATTAAAAATATACCTTACAACACGTGCCTGCCTATAAGTATTCTTGATTATGTTGTATTAAAGAATACATACATTATACACATATAACTACATTATATAGAACGTCTGAAATAWTTTATTTTTAAACTAAAAATAAACAACTTTGATASCGATAAAATTTATATARTTAATATTCTTCACATAACTGTTGTATATTTTTTCGTTTAAAAAAATACAACGCATATCCATGGCTAGGGGAGCAATATTTTTATTCTCTTCATTTACGTGATTCAAATTTTTGACATTGTTTCTAGCAAATATTAATTAATATTTAGTTCGATACGATAATATTTAATCGTACTCTGTGGACGGAAGCRTCGATATATTATGCATATATAGTAATTTTTACTGGCGGGGATATTTGTACGGATTTGGACCTTTTTTTTAAATGGAAAACATGATTTATTCATCGGTCAAGGGTCGTGTTTTATGAATCAGTCAACTATAGCAAAAATACCGATTAGAATGCTCTCGATGACGTTTAATTTAAAAAATGTTCAGTAATCAATATTTACTCATTATCTGGGTAATTATAACGAAGTTTCGTTGAAATCAGTACACGACATTTTCGAATATCAGTATCACTACGAGTTTCGCAATAAAATCTTAAAATCGATATTAAACGCACACATGCATAACGTTAAAAACAATTACATTTTATTTTAGTTTATTATCCTCTTGTAACCTAACCTAACCTTCAGGTACAAAARTAATTAAAAACTTTTTTTAATAGTATTGTATTATGGAGTAAATTTATTTTGAATATTTAATATAACATATGAAATGTGGTTCCCGAAAAATGCATATATCTGCACTCTTATCAAAAAATACGAATATAATGAACTTTCGTAATTATTCATAACTAGATAAACACTTAAACGTAAAATGTATTTATAAATCATACAATAGTTTTATAAATTGTTATTAAATAAAATATATTCATTGTACAATGTACTTATCAAAAAGTTTATATAATACCTATTGTTCATAATTATTAATACACTTTATGATATGCTTTAATCTCTTATTATGCTCTTATGTTCAGAATATTGTTTTCCAGTCAACAAGATAATAACGTCTTATGAAATTTCTACTTATATGCATATCCTTTTTGTTTTTAAAACGAAATATACATATATACAGACTGTTAGTGTAGTTAATAAATTATTCAATTAGATACAAACCGGCTCAACTATAAATTTCCTATAAATAAGAATTTAAATTTATTTTTACGTATTTTTTATACTTATGAAGCGTTCAAGTTTTAAACATGTTAATCTTTTTTTTTACCTACTACAACAATCATGTCAGAAATATTATACAGACAACCACACACTTTTGAATTTCGACACAAATCATACTAAAAAACAGTTGTATTCATTCACCACGTCATCATAATTAAGAAAAAAAATTCTATAATAAGAATTAATGATCAAACTCATAATATTACACTTAATGGATGCTTATAAACCTTATATTATACCCAATTAGAAAAACAACAGGATTATGATGAAATCAGTTCATATAATATTGGAATTATTATTTATCATGACGACAGTGAAGTTGATTCATGAATCATTTTGCTATTTTGTCAGTATTATAAATTAGTATATAGTACCTTAATAGTGAACATATTTCGTRTTACAATTTAAACATGTAATACGACGTATATAATATATAATTTATTTGTGGGTTATACGCCCAGTGTGCGGTATACGTCGGAAGCTGCTGGGATGAACGCGCAGGAGAACGAGGAAATGAAAATGTCTTCAAATTCAATTTCTCCGGCTTCTCGGCGTGGTTTTCGATCACATTGGTATTATCAACGACAGCAGGAAATTAATTCATTTCCTGCAGCAGAATCTACCCACTCGTTTCACTTCCGGACACTACCTAGCTAATCTGCAACCCTTTTTGATAAAAACAAAAAACCGAAAAACGTAATGGGTTTTTTTAATATTTTTTTTCCAATTCTCATTTCAGGAAGTGTTGATGGCTCACGGACTCTGGAGAGTATCGTACGCTACGTGTGATCCTGGTTGTAAACAGTTTTGTTTCCTGGCAAGACAACCGGGTGGTCATATCAACAAACAGTACTGTCATTTGTTTGTTACAAAGACGGCTGAACAGGTAGATATACGATTTTAATTTTTTTTTAATTAAACCCCATGTTACAAGAAGGGGGTGAGTAAACGACATGGTCGTCGTGGTGTGCAATAAAACGACATTTTACTTGACAAACAAGTAACGATTTCTCAATCAGTGTCAGTAGAAATTAATGTTCACGTTCCACGTCCCCGGTGACGTAAGTGGGCTCAAGTAGACGGAAAACGAGAGTTGACATTAAAGAAAAAGAAAAAAGACTAAAATGCAATTTGATTCGTTTTTAGTTTTATATAATTTTGCAAACCTCTGATGATCACGCCTCACGCGCATAACAGTGTAGTAAAATTGCATACACAGTGCGCCGGKTTACAGATTACCAATTATTTGATTAATAATTTATTATTATAATAATTATTTATAAGATTTATTTATTATTTTCAATCTCGACTAATAAGAGATATTGAAATGCTCCAATATTTTTTATTTTTTTTAAATATTCAAAAAACAGGTMAATAATATTTTTTAAATACAGTATACGWGTTAAACATATAATTATTTAGTATGAATTATGTCAATTAATAACCACAGTTCAAGAAAATTATTGAACTTAAAAAAAAAATAATTAACAATTATTTTCTAATCAACAAAAACAGATTCTTAGTACATTTTTAAAATCGAATAGATTAATTCTATACATAGAACCTTTTAGTTGTTTCTATATATTTTTTTACATAATTTGTGTTAGAAGTTACTTGTTATGAATTTACAAGATTTGACGATAAAAAAGATATTGTGTCATTATTTAAAAACAAAATAATCTAACTGTAGGTACCTACTATAATTTTTAGATTTGTTGATTTACTTTTGTTGTCAGTTACTATCTATAACTCTCCCTAAAATATTTTAGTAGAAAATATTGTACATGCTGGGGATAAAATACATCAAGGAAAATCTTAATCCTACCTCCACTCAGAAACATTATTCATGGACAATATTTAAATACACGACACTGACACTACTCTGTGTTCTATATTATTACGTATTATATTTTACGACAAGCGCCGGACCGAACGCTGTCTATTGTGATTAAGCCCGGGCGATGTGGCGGGGTAAAGGTACCTTTGGGACGGATGAGGTAATTAATTTTCTCGTCACGCGTATACTTATTAAGTATTTGTAATATACATTGTACATATAGGATAATCCCTGATCGAGCTATCTCGGCTCTTGTGTCCAAGACACTCGACGACGGATTCGCGATTTGATTGAAACGTTCTCTGTCGCAAAGACTTTTGTYTGGATTATACGATAAATGTGCCTCACCGGCCTTTAAATTACCGTAGATGGTCTCGTCGTTATATTTTCTTCTCGTGTTCTTCCACCATTAGTTCGCGTCTCACGCCGATAAAAAACAGACGATTTTCTCGAGACTTAGTATATTAAGCGACAATGATTTGTATACACGTCGGAGTGTAATAATGTCGTGTACATCATTCGCGTCATAGTCATGCAAGGACCGTAGGGTGGATGCCCAACTACCACTTTTTTTCCATTCTCGTGTCTCATATCCCTCATCAATTTTATTTTTAAGTAACTCTATCCCACTTCAATCCATTTCACACACTTTGTAGTAAATCCTAACGATAAGATTGGATTAATTATGTATTTATTACTCCAAACAAAAATATAAATTGTACTAAATTGTTTTCATTTTGTTTTGTTTATTTATTTATTTTTTTTTTGTTTTCCCAAAGCGTAAAAAGTAAATTATCTAAAATGTATACTTGAATTTGAATTTATGTTAGTATTGAAAAATATTAGTATAGTAAAATATAATAAATGTAAACATATGTTACACAATTATCATTATTTCATACCCATTCATTCAATTCCATCATACTATTCGATAACAGCGACCACATAAACTTAAAATATAAACAACATATTAATGAACCTAACCCAGGGGTTAGGTAAGTTATACTACTATGGTTTCCACATCAGTTGTGAATCTTGTGATACAGGTACAACGGAAAAAAAGGAGAGCAAATTTAAGGTTCGGGCAATATAGGTCGAACCGATATCTCACTAAATACTATTTCAAATATGGTGCTTTAGTTTATWAGTAATTATAAGAAAAATTACTATAACGTTTAGTTGTTAACGGTGTTAACGCAGTATTTAAAATAGTAAAATATCTTATAATTATCAATTTTTAAGCTGCGAGTATACGTATTCAACTTACAGATGCAAATGTTGTGTCTTATGCCCTCTGTTTAATATATCCACCAGTAAGTACCTAAATTTATGTACATCAAACATATAATTCGTTTGGGTGTGGGTATGCCKTGAAAACAATGGTACAGACGTTTTCACTGTAAGTCCATTTCATTAGCTAAGTATCCAAAATTAAAAATTCATAAATAAATTGTACCACCAATTAAGCACAAAATTAAAATAATGTGCAAATCGCCTGCACAGAAAGRTTGTTTATTAAGATTTTCGCTTRTGAATTTATAAATTTGTGGAGCCCTATATAATGTTGACGGACTTCACCACCGTTAAGAAAAAACAAGTCACGTCTGAGTAGAATACCAAAGTCTTTGGTAAAATTAGTTTTGTTTTATCAGACAAAAAAAAAACAATAATATAAATGTCTGAACGCTGTGCCGGAAGTTATTAGCTAGCCTATTACTGGTATAGTCATGGTATTTTCACAGTTTAAGGTCGTATCCGCTTGGTTGGCCGATGACATTAAACATTAACAATAACTATTCGAGGTACTCTTTATCACGCTTTTATATAATATTATGCTAGACAACTAAAATTCCGTTCGCTAAACCAATACCGCGTGCAGTTGCACATAATGAATTTTGCCGGTGAAAAAACAAGTCATTTAATTATTACTTATATATTATGTGTATAAGTAAAATACGTGTGTCGAATACTAGTGTGTGTTCAAGCCTTCAAGGATTAGTCGACCAACTCAAACTCCGTCGCGAGAARATATACCTAACCCGTAACCGACTGGTAAACACATATATAGTATAGGTATGTGAGACTCGTATGTTATGTACATAGTTTTTCACATRAGAAATGCGAATGAAATAAAATGTATATATGCACGTTAAGTCACATTGAATTTATTATAAGACTTGAAACGATCCACTTCTACAATGTATACACTGTACATAATCATCGAGATTCGATTTTTGATTTCCCTCGCCTTTTTTCTTTACTTATTTTTACAAGTGAACGCCACCGCCTCCACACATCGGAATCGCCATCTGATGTGATATATTCGCATTCAGAGACGGCGAGGAAAAAGTACCATCATGACCAACAAAAACATTAAAAAAWAAWWATAATAATAATATACATAATGCTCGGGCTTCTTTAATAATACAATTTCCGGTCTGGTCACGGAGCTCGCTAGGAACGATTGCGGTTTACTTTTTGATTAGAAACGGCGTGACGCGAATCGTTATGGCTGCACTAAAATGTTTAAGTCGTCTTGCCAAATATTTACTAAATGGAACGAAAAATACATTTTGTTCATTTGGTCGTGTTATAATTTACAATAGCCACCGTGGACCAGAAATCATTACRTCTTGCGAGTGCTCATTAAAACTGTATAGAAAACGAGGGCGCTTGTGTTTTTAACGAGTTATAGAAATAATCACGTCCCGCGTGCCGTTATAACCGTAATGGGTTGCGAGTAGATTTATAAATTTGTTAAGCTTTTAAGTGGTTGATAACATCATTGAATATTTGCATTTCCGAGAATTATAAATTTGTAACTTGTGTAAATAAACTACAATAAAACGCAAACTTTTCATAAAAATATTTAAATATATAGTACGGGTAACTATAAGAATCATGTGAATTGCTTTTTAAAACACTATGTCTGCTCTCYGTTAACATATTTCGYAATTTATAATTACATTTCGGAAGTCTAAAAAATACAGACACATAAATACAATTCATATGATTATAATTCCTATGTATATTCAACTATATTATACATACAAAATAATCATAATATTA